TGACCTTAAAATACATCGTTTCTGCCGATGGAGAAGTGAAAGCGAACGTGTTTACCACGTTACATAAAAAGTAGCCTGTTCCAGGAGTTCAGATTATGAGGGCGACGCAAGGAGATGTGAGCAGGAAAAACAGCTAGGGGTGGGGTAGGGAATGAGGGCGAAATTCCTTCCTCTCTCTCCCTCACCCCCTCTTTCTCCTTATTTTTTTCCCGTTCTCTAACTTCGCACCACAATCCACTATTTCAAAGCCTGGGACAGGCTATAGAAAAGTCGACCATGATTTCCGAGACGTGGTAATAGCATCGCCATGGCGCATCACCGTTCTAGCCAATAGCCTAGCTAGCCGTCTCTCCACGGTTACAGTACAGGTGGTGTACCCATATATTTGGTTAAGGTTTCGAGTAATTTGCCAGAACCGGTCCAAGGAAGCGCTGCCGCTTAAGATCTTTTACGCTCCTATCACAGCTAAGCATGGTACGGCAGGCAGGAGTTCTTGGAAAAATGACCAGAAACGAACATGCGTTACTTCCCCTTGGCTTAGATCGAATCATTTGATAGCTTTTTTTTTAGAGTTCCAAGTACAAATTCAGCTCAACATTGACAAGTATATGGAAGTCATCCTGATATAACCCCTTTATCCCATTGAGTACCAAACGTGATTAACATCAATTTTCTCCTAAAAATATTCATAAATCATTACAAGAAAAAGTTTAGAGAATTCATAAAATAATCACCAAAATCTCTCAACTAATTCTTTAAGGAAAGGTAGGGGGATCAGTCGGGAGAATTTGAATGTGGATCATTGGGGCTGAAAATAGACAGCGAGCAGCCTCTCCTTTTCTTCAGATTTAGTGAGGGGAGGGCACGCGCGCGAGAGAGTGTTGCGCGTGGTCATTTGCGTGTCTCGGTGTTTTGCACGACGGACTAAGAAAAAAGAGAAACTGCTCGTAGTCTAGGCTGCAAACTATGCCACTTACCAAGACCTCTCTTAGTTATGCTGGCTAGAAAAGAATCAAACGATTTAAACGCTGTTCCGTCTCCCCATAAACCAAGTCTCTCCATAAATGCCTGAAAATATTCAAATCACTCTATCAGTGTACTGTATTGATTGACTATTGGACTGAATGGGAACATTGTCAGAAACCTAAGGTTTCTAGACATGGTTGCTGTAATAATCTGTCAGCAATTATTGTAGCGTTTAAAAACTTCATGCAACAAGAGTCTTTGTGCTCTTCTACTGAGTACCTAGAAATCATGTACCTTGAACCAGAGTTTAATACCATCAACTGAGGTGATACAACTGACTTTGACCCTGACACCCTGTCCACACGTATCCGGATATTTTAAAAAACGGGGATTTTTTCCACGATTTTCAAAAAAAAAATAGGCGTCTTCATGAATCGTATTTGAATCGTTTTCGCCTGTCCACATGAAAACCCTAAAACGATGAAAGACGACAGCATCCCTTACAGAGCATGCGTAATACTAGTAGTATATGGTGCATGACATAATCGTGTTCACAAATCTCCGTTTTCGACAGCCCACTTTAAACGAGAAGCCGGCGTTTTAAAAAATCTCCCCTCTGGGTCTTTTTGAAAAGGCCGTTTATGTGAGGATGGAGGCAAGAATGGAGAAAAAAGTCTTCGTTTTCAAAGCTATCCCGATACATGAGGATAGGGCCTGAAGACCTGTCAAAACGTTAATCACTGTAAACAACAGTCCTGTTCAGTACACTCATCCCGACGATCATAATTACTGTCGGTTGCATCTAAGCGTGTACACCTGAGGCAAAAACTTGTTCTAATTGTCAACAAACTTACCTTTGCCTTGACAGTTTGCTTTAACGGCTGTCAAACTTCAAATGTTTGGCGGTAAAACACGTCATATCTGGCACCCTATTAGAACATTTTTTTTTGTCTCGTGTCCACGCTTAGATGCAACCGACGGTATTTCGCCTTAAAAAATCTTTGTTCCCAGGTACAAGATCAAGTCGCAAGATCAAGTTTCACTTTAAAGTTTTAACTTTGTACAGTGGTATCTTATAAGATGCTGACTGCGTACAGCATAATTTTTAAAGGTACATGCCAGCCTTTACTTAGTGCATTGTTTGCGAAAAACTAGCAAAGCAAAGTTGGATACCTTTTAATAGTAACATGCTATTTCCTGACACTCAGTCAAAATCACGTTACTGTCAATTATATAAAATAATACTTTACTCTACACCTACCATATTTTTTACATCTGTCACACCAGTTGCACTACAGTACACAACACGAGCTTTGGGTAGCATTCTATGAAAAGAAAAAAGAACAAATCTGTAAAGAAGAGAAAATTTGGGCACAGCAGTTACTGTAGGGGAGTGGGGGGGGACTCTGTAGAGACAGTAAGGAGGTCAGGTATATTTAACAATTATTCCACAAGTGCGTGTTGGATATGAGTTGGCTATAATCATCTCATATCGGAAATAATTGTTTTACTAAAAACACCTGCAAAATATCGAGAATTCTTCCCGACTTTATTTGTAAAAACAACCGATTTTCAGCTCGTTTTTAAGTTTGAGCAGACGCGTACAGTTACTTTAATTAGCTCACTTGTCACACCTCCCCTCCCAACGTTTCTAGAGTCAACTCTGGAAATTGAACTCGAGGTGCATAAGTGGGAGGCAAGTGCTCGATCACAACTGCTCCATTCCTGCTCCCTGCTTCTTTCAAATTGTAAAATTATTAGCACTTTAATTATTACATTAGAGTGTAATAATTACATGCTACATTGTAACAATTGATATTCAAAAATGAAGTTGAATAACTTTATCATACCTTTGTATTGTTGTGACAGCAAGAGCAACTTTTGTGCTGGATTCTTCTTTGCCCTAAAATGAAATAAGCTACAGTGAGCAGGGTACTTAGTTGAATCCATGACATCTGTGTCTGGTGTCAATATGCATCGCTGGCCAGTGAATTTCAGTTGTGTGGAAAGTGTAATGGTTGTGCATTCATTAATGAGTGTAACAAGACCAATTCCATTCTCAAGAAACCCAGTGCGCAGTCATGCTTTATGTGAACTGTGTGTAATGTAAAGGGAACACAAACTGTTGTCCTCTCATCCACTTCATACAAAACATAAATTGAATAATGATGATCAGATAGTGGCAGTTTCTAATAAACCATGCTTTTTGCCCTAAATAAGGTATTTACATGTATTTGTTGCAGTTATGAATGCGAAAGAATAAGGGCTAAACTACTGTAAATTACTTACAGGAACAAAATGCTTTGCTTTATGACACTCGTCAAATATGAGGCATCCATTAAACTGCTCACCACCACACCAGTCTATGAGCTGTTGCAATCTACTCTGACGATTAGCACCTGTCAAAAAGATAATAAAACCGATCAACAAAAAGAGGAACTTTGTCTATTATTATTCTTTGACAGAGATGGACGGCCATTTGTATTGTCCAATGATGGAAGGAAAATACCAGCGACCCTTTCACTCCTAAGTGCAATAATGCACAAAAAACTTTTCGTTGTTCTTTTTTCCCCACCATATTGGTAGGACCACAGTTTGTTGAGACCCAGAAATTTTGCTTCTATGGCAGTGTGACTTCTCCTTTCTTTTACACTGTAGGAAGCAATAGTTGGCTTGGAAAGATTTTGGATCAGATTATCACTTGGGGAAAAATACACCTGAATTGAAGGAAAATGAAAATTAATGCAACTTGCATGCACAGATTGGTTTGAAAAACAACTCTTAGAAAATAATTATTAAGAAAAGGAATTAATGCACCTTGTCCAAGAATAATTATATTGTGTTACATAATGATAACAACGGACACCAGCCAGTGTAGATAACTTGTAGTATTCAAGAAAGATTTAAAAAATTCCAAAACAGAGAGAACTCTGAGAGCATTTTCTCCAAAAATTGAGATTCTGGAAGACAGACGTTGAAAGAATTTTTTCTGAAATTTAACAAGATTTTAGACAAAAAGGCAGGGGAGGGCATGGCCTTCTTGCCCCACTCTAAATAATGTACCCATGGTATTCGAGTTCATGTACCTGGTTTCTTTATCCAGCTGCTGACAACCGTCTATCACTTTGACAAAACAACCAATGTCATGTAAATCTCTGACAAATGAAAAACAATCAGAAATTTGTCAGTTTCTTGGGTTATAGTATTTTACAGCTATACAGAGAGAGAGAGAGAGCAATTACCAGCATCCCTGATTTTGTAACAAACTGCTATAGGGATTCACATCATGAAAAATCTGTCACAGTCCAGAATCAGTGAATCCAAATCCAAAGCCGATTTTATCGATTTTATTGGATCATTGGTGTGGAAATGCTTCTGAATATTCCTTCCAATATTACCCCTGGACCATTTTGTTCTAGGGGGTGAATGGGTTACATGTAAAAGCGCCAAAAAAATGTGGAATTATGAACTTAATGCTGCAGTGATTTTGTTACCCCTGCCTGTGCATCCTGTGCCCCTGATGCATCAGATCTCCAAAGATGCAAAATAATTTACTGCCCGCATCCTGTAGGATCGACTGAGGGACCAGAAGATGATTTTGAAAAAGAAAATCCTGTTTATGACTTCTAATCTGTAATAAAACCTACCTTGCCAATAAGTCATAGAGAGCAGACTTTTTTAAAAGGTATTTTTTGGAAAAATTCCCAGGAGTGAATGGGTTAAAATCATTGACTTAAAAGGTCAAAATTCCATTGAATACATAATCAGACTTTGGCTAAAAAATAATCTGAACACACCTTTGGGCATCTAATCGTAGGTCAGCTGAAATACTAAACCATATATGTCTGGATCTTCCACGTGCAAAATTGTCCAACACAATGCCAGCAATCTACAGTAGAAAACAACTGGAGTGTAATCTTGACTACAAATTTAATGGGCTTAAAGTCAAACAGTTCTATATTCAAGGTTTGTACAACTTCAGACAAACAAATTTCTAGGACATTTCAAGAATTTTTCAAGGACAAATTACAGTTTTCAAGGACTACGATATTTCTGTTACATCGTAGGCATTCTTTAACCCCCTTTGATCATCCTATTGGCTAAAACATGTCATGGAGTCATTTACGATTTTGACTTCTTTGGCCATATCATTGATCACATTATTTTATACTCCTTTCCATAACAAGACTTTGCAAAATGACTGGGTATGACGTGCAATTGCATCTGAGGTGCAGAAATTAAGCATAGTTACCTGTGAGTTTTACAGGTCAATTCTTACACCGAGGATGAGCTGAATTTTCCTTGGCAAAATAATCTAATTTTACAGAAAAAGGTGTCTGGCATAGACAAGGTTGTGAATTTCAAGGACTTCTTATGACCTAATAAAGAAATCAAGTACTTTTCAAGGACCTAAACCAAATTCAAGGACTTTTCAAGATGACAGTAGTAGAATTAAGACCTTTTCAAGGTTGTATGATCAACCATGTATGTTCTTTTGCACGCCCGTACCAACTGTCACACCCTACCAGCTGATCAAAGATTAATAAAATGCCATAGCAACTCCAATTCTTGAGTGGTTTAACATGGTTTGGAGGCAATGTGGAGGCAATGGAAAATACAAGTGATATCACATGGTTTTAAAATGAAAATGAGGCAAGTGCTTTTGCAAGCATGAAAATGAGGTAAATTTGCACCTCAGTGAAAATGGCCATTGTTCTTGATTTTTGTCTAAATAAACAAAGTAACAGTTTATCGACTTAACAGCACAAAATTGTACAAAAACAAAATGTACTCACTTGTCTTCCTTTTCCAACCCCAGCACCATCCCCTATAAAGAATCCAGCTCTCTGTCCATTGGCAAGGACCATCTGATGTCTTTGACACTATTAAAAAAAATCAACAGCAGTTTATAAAATGGATTTTTCATGCTGTTTAACTTGATTTTATAACTCAAGACCATGACTGTGCAATAACACACTCTTTGCTACCACAAGTCATCTCCCCAGCAGCTGGAAGGGCCTTTTTTGTAATGAATTTATTTTTAGCTGGAAATCCATCTTTCCCAAATACTTTAAATGCTTTACGTGGACAGAAGAAAGAGCAATACAAAAACCGACAAATGTTGACAGAGTTCTTGATACTAATAAGGTGATAATTATACTTACAGCATACAAAACTCCTTCCAGTTGCAAATCACTTAGTTTGCCTGATGTAAACAAAAAAAAAATAGGCTTTAAATTTGTGCCGAAAATGAAAATCTCGTCTGAAATTTAATCACTAAAGTGTCATTTCTGACGGGTAAACTCTACCTTCGGCTGAAATAACCTTCGAGGACCCTTTTTTTAACTAAACCCTGGAAATTCCTTAGCAGTTTATCAACATTTCCCTTTATCAATATTATTACAAAACTATCACCTAAAATATGATCAAACCCCTCCATGCAAACACCTCTATAAGGTCTTTTCATCCTACAGCCTCACGCAAATGTATGCAACATTGTCGGCCAACAGCTCTCAACATTGTTGAATGTTACATGTTGCCTCCATTGGCACACCCTGTTGCATGTTGTTGCAATGTTGTTGCACAAACTTTTAGCCATGCGCAAATGGACAAAACAATTCTCTCTCTTGCACATATATAGCTTAAAGACATCTAACTTTATACATATTACTTTACATCAGTAATTAAAGCAGACAGCTCTGTAAAGTGGACACTTGGTTCTGTCCCTTTGGTGTCTGATTAAAGGAGGGGGGAGGGGGGAGGGGGGCAAGGCTGCTGTAAGTAAAACCCAACTATATGTAAACCCCTTCTTTTCAAGAAGTGACCTAAGTGTCCAATTCAACAAAAATTTCAACTTTCATTTTTAAAGAGTTTTTACACGTAAATGTGGAAGAACCATTAGTTTTTTAGTCTGATGCCATGTAAAAGTACAGTTGAAGAGGTCTCATTTGAATGGTCGCACATGTTTTTCATCGGTATCATCATTTTTTTTGCCAGGGTCTCAATGGTCTCATGGGTTCTTCTGATTCTTGAATTTAAAATGGTTTCCTACTTCTTATTGGCATCATGATTCATCGGTCTCCTGTTTCTGTGGTTCTTGTAGTCCTCAGAGGCTGGTTCATGTACTTGTGGAGGATCACAAAACCGAGGAGAACTACATGTACAAGAACCACGATAACAGGAAGAGCCATGAGAAATACCAACCATGAGAATCAGGAAAACCAGGCATGACAGAGAGCCACAGAGCAAAGGAAACTAAGACAACTTGAGAGCCACAAGTACCAGAGACTTAAAGAAGTAAGAGAATAACCAGAATGTTGGTCAAAGTAAATATCTCAATTATCATCACCTGTCTCTACTAAATCTTGTGGAAGTGATTTAAACAACTGGTATTTAGCTTGTGGTAGCTGCTGTGCCTAGAAAAGAGAGGGGACATACATTAAGTCAGTAGCCATTTTATTGTGCATTTACTTTAAAAAGATAATCATCAGTAAAACCTGCAAATGAAACAACCTTTTTAAAAACAAAAATATCAATAGCGCAGACAGTTGAACATTGTGAGAATAAACTGTTCTCAGATAAAATGGAATAATGTTATCTTTGTCCCATACAAATAATTGGGAAAAGTGTGATATCACTTTACCATCATGTAACAAGATTTCTGGATCTCAACAGTCCTTCTTTCAAGACAGAAATGGCCATTTCATGATTTGTATTGTTGGATGATCAAAGAAAAGTCCTAAGTGCAATCATAGGAAAGTCATACAGTCCTATTTTTTTCTCCCATATAATTGCAGGGCCACAGTTTGCTGAGATCCAGGAATTTTGCTAGTAAGCAGGGCAACATGACATAATGACTTCTCTTTGTTGAGGCTAGGAAACAAAGAAAATTCTGACTCAAACAAGGTCTAATGCTTGTTTAACCACAGTAGGGACAAATTAATTTTGGTTTGATTTTCAAGCCATTTCAAAAAACATGCGGTATACATACTTACCGCCAAGCAACCAGCTTCTACAATATCCCCCGGATGATGTTTAATTCCTTTATGATTTAATGAGTTGCAAGCATAGCTTGAGAAGACATCTTCACTGTAAACAAAACAACCATGGAATTTAAACAGCTTGACATGGCATGGCATATATTGTGCTACAAAAGTGAGTTAACAGTTGGTTTGGAATAGCAGGCCTAAAAATACTTTTTTTTCCTTTTAGAAAGGGCATAATTGTGTCCTACTAGGTCACCATTTTAGCCAGGCAAACCAGAAAGGTTGTCAGACATCCACAGTGAACTCAATTGATGAAAAGATTACAGCTGTTTCTCTTTCTCAATTTAAATCAAAATTAAAACAACATTATCTTTCGCTGTACTAATATTGCCAATTATCTTGTACTTTGTAACTTCTATCCTGATTTTTCGCTCTTCTTATGGTAATATGCACTAGTGTGTGTGTATATCAGTGTGTTTGTGTGTATACAGTCTGATATGCTGCCATATTGTACTCCACACAATAAACTTAGTTCAATCATTTTACTGAATCTGGCTTCTTGGCATTTTAAACTTATTAGTTATTTCAGAAAGTCAGTACCCCTTTTAGTTAATTGATTAATTTAACAACTTGTAAATAACTATAATATTCTGCTTTGGGTACAATAAAAATTGTTGTCGTTGTTGTTGTTGCTGTTGTTGTGAAACCAGTACAGTCGAACCCTGTTATTTCGGACACTGAGGGGGCCATAAGAGGGGGCCATAGAAAATGTCCATATTGATGAGGTGTCCATAATAAGCACGTTGAATTTAGAGGAAATGTAAGGGTTTCTTTCGACGTCATCTCGATGAGTAGGCAAATGCTTGAGAAATTACAGTGTTTGTATGAGAATCCAATGTCGAATGATTTTTCGTAAAACGGCTGTTCTGGAAAAAATATCAATATTGTAAACTAAAGTTACACAGCAAAGGATTTTACTAACAAATTTTGGGGGCCGTTACTGTGCTTAAATCTCTCCAGAAGCTTGCTTTAGATTTTCCATAATATTTGCGTGCAATTTTTCCTGGGAAATTTTTACAGACAAATGTATAGAAAATTTAAAAAAAAGGTTCTAGGTCTTCTAGTGCATGTAATGCCCTCAAATTTTTTCAGTAGAATCCTTAACAGTGAAGCTTTAGTTTACAAATCATATTTTTTTCAAAACAGTTGTTTTACGTAAATTATTCGACATTACATTCTCATACAGACACTGTAATTTCTCATGCATTTGCCTACTCAGCTCGTCAAGATGGCGTCGAAAACTGTGACAAGGTCTATTACCCCAGGGACAAAGCAAAATAATTGTCCGTAATAATGAGGTGTTCGTATTAAGCAGGAGTCCATGAAGCAGGGTTTGATTATATTAGATGGACACCCTTGTGGAATGCCCTTGCATTACAACTTCACGCCGATTTAAGTGTCTATTTCAGAAATGGGCATAACCGCTGGATTTTGTACCCTGAAGGCTCAATTTATTATTCCGGACTTTCCCTTTGAGAGTGCTCATTTTGACTCGGTTCAAAGAAGGTGAGATTTTATGGCGGAAGACTCAGAAGCGAAATCAAAGGAATTGAACAATAGCTTAATTAAGTTTTGAAGGTATCCTTTTGTCCTAAACATGTCAATAAATCTTCAGAGAATTATCGCACATATTGCAGTAGAAGTTTATGGATTTAAGTCTTTCGCAAAACTTCTTCGACTTGGATATGTATTTTTCAAAAAGGAGAGTTTTAAGAGCTTCAAAAGGAGATCTTGAACGAAAAAAATTCGACCACTATGGACCAGGATTGGATTTTTTTTCTTGCCGAGGTTTTGAAGTACAAAGCAAGCCGCTGAAGCATTTTTTCTTGCCTATCACTTAATAAAATCCGGCCGAGAGTTATCCATTCATTCAATCATAACAGTTATTCATTTCTCCAGAGCAATCAAACTATACAAACGTTTCTACAAAATTATTTAAAGGAATTATGAACTCCGCAAGTTTTGATCTGTCAATTACAGCTCTTGTTTTGATTTTAAATTTTTCCTGTCTCACTTGACTACTACGCAAATCAAGTTGTCATGCAAATCGGTGAACTGACAATGCGCGGTTATTTCGGGCCCTGCAGTCACGTAACTGAAACGCAAGGTTTTGTTCAACAACAAAAAACTGAAAGGCAAGCGAAAACGTCCAAAAAAGTGAAATTACACTCTAATAAATCTGTGTCATCCCGTTAAATGCATTCACCGCTTGCGTTGTTTACATTTTGAAGCGAGTTGTTTGCTCTTGATTGCAGAGCGCAGGTTTTGATAATACTAAATGAATAAAAAGTTCCAATAAATACCTTCTGCAGCAATTCTTTAAACGCCAAATTATTTTCAAGGCAAGGGAGTATTTAATAAAAAAAATACTATAGGAGACGAGGTATTTATAAGCTTTAATCAACTTCAAATTTATCAGGCTTGTTTCCTTTGTAATACAGTGCGTAACCGAAAACATGTTATGCAACCAGAGTTGTCTGCCACGCTTAAAAGAGTTGTAAGCGTTCCCACAGACTGCAGCAAATTTAACAGGCAAGTCCGAGTATTTTAATGGATAAATTTAATACTCATCAAGTAACAATGGGGATTAAAAAGTCAATCAAGCAACAAAATTCGAAACAAAAGAGACATATCGCACCTAAATCAAAGGAATCCCACTTTCTTCGGAAGGTAATCGACAACGGAAAAACAATAGCCTGAATATATGAATACTTGATGACCCCAAAATTTGGGGTACACACTTAAATCGGCATGAAGTTGTAATGTGTGTGTCCATTTAATACAGGAAATACCCATAAAGAGGCTTAACTATTAAGACGGAATCCACCGGGAAATTGAGTAATTTTAATTTAATTCTGAAAATTTCATGTGAAAGATGCAATTCTGTGAAATTTGACATTTCATTTTCTTGGGCTTCAATATGAAATTTTCTTTAGTATTATTACAGATGACTGATGACACCTTTAGCCCCTGGAAAATGTAAAAAAAATGCAATATGCTTTAAATTATTCTGGTACAAGGTTTTTGTCCACTGAAAATCAAACTTATTCAATTTCCTGGCGGATTCTGTCTTAAGGTCAAATGAGTAAAATAAGCCGTTATACAAACAAAATGAAATCAGAAAACAGTACTGTACAACTGATCAACAGCTTAGTAAAGGCTGCCGGTATGCATTGCATGTTGATCATGATTCTGTGACTGTTAAAAAAAAAAACAGGCCAACGAAGGATTTATTGCTTTATTCTTTTCTCCTTGAGTATTTGATTGATGTTTTGGATAAAAACACCCCTCAGAAAAACCTTCTATTACTATTACTAACCCGATCGGAAAATCTCTCAGGCCAGCCCCATAAAATCCTCATCGATTGAGGTTACCGGCGGGGGGGGGGGACATAAAATAGAGATAATGCATCTCTCGATGTAATAAATCAAGCTAGGCTTGGGCTCGTGTGCATATACACCTTTTAAAATTTCAGTAAATTATCTAAGTTAAATACGTTCCCTCCATTAATAACACAACTAAGCGAAACTTCGCTACATAGAAGAAAACTCAACCAAGAGTACAAACCTTCGACTTTCTGCCACAACGCCGTGCGCCATCTTGTTGAGCTCCTCGTGTTCCTCGCTCGGGTTTTCAGTGCGATTAATTACAACCCGGCGTGGCGGAACACGTGATTCTGGACTAGACAGAGCCATGGTTACCTTCTGATTATAGCAATTTAGAGGAAAAAGCCATCATTTTCAGTATTTTTACACTCAAATCCCTTTGTTGTGAATATTCCCTCCTTTCCCGCATTTTTGATTGTTACCGCCATACCTTGCGGGCGCAAATGAGCCTAGGACCCAGATCGTCTCTGATCTGTGTCTGGGTTTTCGATTCCACCCTTCTCCCCCAAAGGACGGGAAATTTGGGATAGCTGTAAGTACGTTCAAGCAAGATTTCTAAAACCTGACGCACTCGAAGCCTTAAGCACCGCAAAGGTTTTGCTGCTGAAGAAGATATTTTTCGTACTGGATCATGTCAAGTATGCCGTAAATCCTCTATTAAGCTCCCCTCTCAATCTCTAATATTAAAGCCAGGAGCCGATAAATAAGCCCCCTCCTCCCAATAAGCCCCCCCACCTTTTCTGGGGAAGAAAGTTAGTAAGCCCCCGCCCCCCATTCTCTCCCCTAATTATTCTTCACCAATAAATGATAGACTGTACAATCAATCTCGACCGTAAAACTTCGTGTGGACTGAGACAGAATGGTTCATTTACCAACTCTGGAAGTTCGGATTTGGTTCTGATCCTAGGGTGCATGACCTCCAACCTCCTTGCACTTGAGCTTTTCCACTTTGTACTCTAGTTCTTTACCGAGAACTCATACCATCATCTTTCTAAATTAAATAAGCCCCCCGTCTCTATTAAGCCCCCTCTCAAATGGGCTTGAAATGCCTTAGATCCTCATGGCCCCCAGGAGCCGATTACTTAAGTAATTAAGTAATCGGCTCCTGTGGGCCCTCAGTCCCATCAACTCAACGAAAATATTTTAATTCGATCGTTGGTGGCTCACTCAAGTTTTTGTTTTTGTTTTTGTTTTTTTTTTTTTGGCAAAAAGCAAAAACACGCAATTTAAATAACGTCAGAGATGTTTTTATTGAGAATTATTATTCATTCAAAATATTTCCCCGATTCTGATTGGCTAAAAGCACACTTTAATTCACCATAACCGGTTACTGATGACTAAAGTTGGAAGAATTTTGTGTTTAGCGAGGAAATGACGTCAAAAATGTAGCGTTCTTACAGGTTAATGCACAGTCAACCGAGAAGACCTGGGGACGAGGTTGAGTTGTGTTGGTCGGTGAACTTGAAAAATGGCGGACATTTTACTCGTTTCAAGAGTAAGAACTAGGCGAAAAAATAGCTAAAAACATGGCAAGAAAAGCAAGGAGACAACTCGAAGGGCGACATCTGCTATTTGGAGAATATTTGCGGAGCTGAACAACCCTAAACGTGCACTATCGAGGATGAACTTAACATCGATGGATCGATGGAGGTAAGCGTGTTTTAGTCATGTTTTTAAACTAGGAATTATTTTGAATGAATAATAAAGACAATTATTGAATTCGGCTTTCGTATCATATGAAGAATTATGGAGATCTCGGAGGGTGTTATCCGCCTCGGCCTACGGCCTCGACGAATAACACCCTCTTGGATGTCCATAATTCTTCATAAGATACTCAGCCTCATTCATTAATTGTTAATTAATTTCTGCTAATAACGTTCTTCTTGAATCTATTACCGCCCCGGACGAATTTTCGATAGTTTCCTTTCATTTTGCATTATTGTACCACATGCAACAACCATGCTACGCTTAGGCTGCCTGTCAGATCAGCTGGCCTTCCCTTTTTTAGCGCGCGCGCGCGTGTGAGAGTTATGGCGGTGAAGCTGCGAGGGAATTTCAAAACGTCTCCTCTTCTTTCCTAAGGTGAGCGGCTTTGCAGCTCCTCTGCCGAAACTCTCTACGCGCTTATGATCCCTCTGACTACGCAGGCTGCAGATAGTGAAGAAACGAAAACAGCTAGCATGTGACAGCTTAATAATTTGTTTTTATTTTTACGTGAGAGATCGAGGAATCTAAAAACGGTCTTAAAAATATAAATCTATTACGCTATGACCCAGGCGTTTTGCAAGAACATTCCTGGGTAAAGGGCTCAGTCCTGATATATCCTATGTGCCTTACTGCTAAAACGGTTCTTGATATGCTTCTACTTTTACTTCCTGTTCAAACGTTTTAAGATTACTTTCTCGATATGATCATTACTGGTTAACTGTTTATAATCGTTTGGTCTGAAATTGTCTGATTACTGGGGAAGCTCCTTCTCCATCAGTTTAATCATCACTAGCTTCAGGTGGCACGTTGTAATATGGACGATCTTCATTGTGTTCGTTTAGATGCAAGTATGGTGCATCCCTCTCCATTATCACCTCCAGTTTTTCGATCAGTTGATAGAAACTGGGACGAGAGCGAGGTTCCTCTTTCCAGCAGTCAGCCATCAGCTCATATCTGTTATGGACAAAAAAAACAAACAAAAAAAAAAAACCAGTTGAAGTTAGTCAGAGTTCCAATCCATTATTACATGTATAGACACCGTTTTTCCGATTTAGTGGAAGAGTTTTCCTTTAGACCAGCTGGGAGCCACTCACGCCGGATCATTAGGCTTGTCGGTTTCTTGCCTAGCCTGCGAGCAAGCTCTCCATTTGGGGGATCTCTTCAAGTACACGCACGTGCGACACGCGAGAGGAAAAACGACAGCGAGGGGCCCCCCGCTCGCGCGTACTCGCGCGGTTCGTTTTCCCTGCCCAAATGGACAGCTTGCTCGCAGGCTAATTCTTGCTCTGTCGATCTCTATTAAATAACACTATCATATCACTGTATCAAACAAATATTTAAGGTAAGATCTTGCCGTCTGTCAGTTCAGTAATCACTTTGATCGAAGAAAACGTCAAAATCGAAACCGACTTGCCCTCTGCTACTTTCAAGGCTATTTATAACTAAAAAGACGCACGGAAAAATCGAATCTTTCTGTCAGTTCTAAGACGATTCTGATCAAGAAACGTACACATCATCGGAGCACATGTCAGGCCTTTCCATGCGATAACCAGTGCCAAGCAGTCGATACAACTCTGAGTTGGTCAGCGTGGGGTATGGTACGCCTCCTGATCACGTTATGCGAAAGAAAAAATATACATGTTATTATTTGAAAATACGGCTCATTCCCCTGGATAGCTTTCTGCTGGAAATGTCAATGTCGACGACTCTTCATTCCCCCGCACTCAATAATGCCGTTTTGCAATAGAATAGTGATTGAGCAGGGGTCAGAATTGCATTGAAATGTGTCTTCAAAGAAAACAGAGTGCTTAGTAATAAGGTTCCTCCTTCCAGAAAACAACTAATGCGTGCATATTTGATGCCGATCATCACTTATCAGACATAGAGCCTAGTTTAAAACGAAAGTGCCTAGCTTGACACAAATAAAAGTCATCAGGTATCAGCCAGTGTTTCCTGGTAACAATAACCTTATTTAATAAGGACTCACTCTTTAAGTCCCAGTGTCGTCCTTTGATATCAGTCGCACAATTCAAGTCATATACCCCGGAGGGTTGTCCAATACTGTCGACCAGAATCCAGTCGTATCCTCTTGCTTTCCATCGGAAAACCGGAAGTCTCGTGGTGTAAAGTCCTACCAAGTGTTTGGATGCATTGGACACGAATAGATTCCGATGGAAAAGTTCATTTTCTATTCGTTAGAGACTTAGAAAAATTCCGCTCATGTTGGATGAAGGGGGTGGAAAGTCGTTCCGATGGAGTCTATCGGATCCATTGGACACGAATAGATTCCGATGGAAAAGTTAATTTTCTAGTCGTGAGAGACTTAGGAAAATTCCGCTCATGTTGGATGAGGGGGTAGAAAGTCGTTCCGATGGAGTCCATCGGATCCACTGGACACGAATAGATTCCGATGGAAAACTTCATTTTCCATTCGTTAGAGACTTAATAAGATTCCACTCATGTTGGATGAGGGGGTAGAAAGTCGTTCCGATGGAGTCCATCGGATCCATTGGAAACGAATAGATTCCGATGGAAAAGTTCATTTTTCTATTCGTGAGAGACGTAGAAAATTCCACTCCTGTTGTATAAGGGGGTGAAAAGGCGTTCCAATGGAAGCCATTGTATCTATTAGATTCTAATAGATTCGAATGCCTGGAGAAGAACATTTTCTATTTGTAACGCCAGGTCAAAAATTGTCATCATGTTGAACGAGGTGGAAAAGTGTGAAACGGAGTCTACTGCATCAGTCTTTTACAGTGGAGAGGTGTATAAAAGGTCGGGAAAATGGGTATGTAATCTTAATTGTTTGGTTTCGCGAGAAAAGGCTAGTGAAGTCCGATCATCCATCAAAAACTGCATCGCATCATGAGGTAATTTCTTTTTTAAAAGCGAACTCGTATTTGAGATAATTCAGTATAACAATATCTGTGTAGCGAATGGCGGTAGCGATATGCGTTCTCTATTCGTCGAGCTCCCGAATTTCGATATGTTAGTTCGTTGTTATACTCCAGGAGAAGTGAAACAAGTCAATTAGATTTGACAAAGTGAGCGTGCTACAGGATCAGGTAACGCGAATTGTTGGGAACGCGAGGGATGCGATCGAGGGGGACTAGAAACAAGAGTTGCCTGATCGACAAAATGGCCAAGATGGCGCATCTTTCGATCATTGACTTTCTAAAAGTATTTACGAGTAAAGAATTCGAACGGCTAGGAAAAGGCATATGGAATTATCTTAAATTCCACTGTTCCTTGAAAATGTGGAATCTTTCGATATTAAATCACTGCATAAGAAAGCAAAAACGTAACCTGAAATGCGAATTTGGAATTCCTCCGAGGGAAGAATCGGCGGAGTTATCTATTTTGAAACTCGTAAATGGAATCTCTCAGTAGGATTTTGGCATCCCTCCGAAGGAGACGTTTCAGAAGGGGTTTGGTATCCTTAGAAGGGGGTGTGTTGCAAATGGAATCCCTCAGAAGGACTTTGGGAGTGTGTATAATATGCGAGTCAGCGAGCCAGCGAGTCATGCGAGTCAACATGTGAGTCAACATGCGAGCCATGCGAGTCATGTGAGTCAGCATAAAATAACTTTGTTTTTAACGTAAACTACTAAGTAACGTATCTATTCCAAAGGAAGGTCCTTTAAAATTCAGCTTCAGAAAAATTCGCCAACATACAAATTGAACAAGGTGAAACAATAACAAAGGTTTGAGAATGCGTTAAACAAAGGTTTAAAGGTTCTTCCTCGGTCATGTTTAATGAGTCACACCATATGTGGTAAGCCACGTGACCAGAACGTAAAAGACACTCTTTAAAACCCAAACGTCTTGTGTCTTTCATAATAAAACCAATGCCAATGGCTTAAGAATATCGCGAAAAAAATTCTGACTTACTAACAAGTTTAACGTTCCTTCTCAAAATTCACGGTTATCGAAAAAGCTATGACGTCATTGAGGGGTATTTTCGTTAGCGAGTCAACATTTTACGAGTTTATTCCTTGCGATTTACATGTTACTTTTCTTCAAGTTTATACACTCGATAAAATTGCGGGCGACATGACTTAGGACTCATGACTTCGGGCGAGATGACTTTCGGGCGACTTGACCGGTTACCTTTTCATACATTTTCTTTAAAAGACTTTCTTGCTGTCGTCTGAACGCTAATTTCATGCTACAAATGTTAAAAAAGTTAAATTGCTTATGATTCGCCAAAAAATGGATTCTCTTTCCTTCGAACTAATCTGTCTCGCATGGCTCACATGATGACTCACATGACTCGCATGACTCACTGGCTCGACTCGCATGACTCGCTGGCTCGCAGTTTGTCAAGACCCATCCAGAAATCTTGCTTCCACGGTAACATGACATCACACATCTCTCTATAGAAGCAATATTCTGTGATTTATTTGACAGTAATAATAGATCAGTAGGAATTTTAAAACAAATCCAATAACATTGACATTATTTTGTTTTACAGAGTATTTGGCTTACCTGCTGATTTTAAAGAGGGTGTTGTCTTCAGTACATACGCAACACTGGTGTCGTCTGTTCAAAAAGGTGAGCGTGCAGTGTGAATGTCATCTGTCACTGACAATAGACAAGGTTCCTGTTTTTGTTGATCTGATTTGTTTTTTTTGACAGGTGCCAATCGTCAAAGCAGATTGCAACAGCTCATAGACTGGTGTGGTGGTGAGCAGTTTAATGGATGCCTCATATTTGATGAGTGTCATAAAGCAAAGCATTTTGTACCTGTAAGTGATTTACAATAGTTTAGCCCTTATTCTTCACACTCATAACTGCAGCAAGTACATGTAAATACATATTTAAGGCAAAAAGCATGGATTATTAGACCAAAACTCATTATTCATCTTAAGTTTATTAGAAACTGCTACTGATCATCATTGTATTCAACTTACGTTTTGAATGAAATGGATGAGAGGACAACAGTTTGTATTCCCTGTACATTACATACAGTTCACGTAAAGCATGACTGTGCAGTGGGTTTCTTGAGAATGCAATTGGTCTTGTTACACTTTGAATGCACAACCATTACACTTTCCACACATGCAAATTGACACCAATGATGCATATTGACAGCAGAGACAGATGTTACAAGTCATGGATTCAATTAAGTACTCTGCTCACTGTAGCTTATTTCATTTTAGGGCAAAGAAGAATCCAGCACAAAAGTTGCTCTTGCTGTCACAAAAATACAAAGGTATGATAAAGTTATTCTACTTCATTTTTGAATCTCAATTGTTAGCATGTAATTAACACTCTTATGTAATAATTAAAGTAATTTTACAATTTGAAAGAAGCAGGGAGCAGGGATGGAGGAATTGTGATTGAGCACTTGTCTCCCACCAATGCGGCTTGAGTTCAGTTTCCAGAGTTGATGCCATGAGCAGGCCCTTTGGGAGGGTGGTTGCGACATGTGAGCTTGCACCCCCCCCCCCAACAGATCCAGAGGTCTACTTTTTAAAATACATAAATAAAGTAGTCTCTGCCAAAAGTATATGTATCAAGTTTGAAATTCAAAAATTTTGCGAAATATCCAAGAATTGAGTCCGACATGTCTAATTTGGGTCGACCCATGAATTAAGTTTGAGTGGCCCACATGGGAATTTTTACTGTGGAGCAAACATCAAATTTTTCTTGTACTGAACCTAATGTATAAATTACAGTAATCTATTTTCACTGTTAAGTATTAATTTCAGACCATTAAACATCCTGGCAATGAATTGAGTCCGGCTTCTTAAGTTTGATGTCTGAATGAACCAAGGAACTTATATCATTTGGGTCAACCTAAATAGGTGTCAAGTTTGGTACATGAAAAGTTTTACGTTTGAACTGAGCCTAAGAATGCCACAGGTTTTCAGTTCTTGGAACTGACAAGTTTCACTCTCTCTAAATAACGTAAGATTGGTTTGGCTTTTTTGCCTGGCTTCTTCCCTATCAGACATACAGTGTTCTCCCTGAATTTTAGCTCAGCCGGTAAGGGACCATTCTTGGCCAGTAAGGTAAAAAAATGTGTGCTAGAGGGGCATTTTCCTTGCAGGGAGGGGGGTAGTAGAATGAGGGACATGCCTTCTACCTCGCTGTGAAATTTGGCAGCTAAGTTCTCTGAAAAGTCATTCCCTCATTTTTAAGACCTATTTTACACAAGTTAGCCATTGTTATCTGTAGACAACAATTTAAAACATTTGATTGCAATAATTTTACTCTGTCTTCAATGCCCTCTGGCCCATGAAAAAGAAAAGTTGTGTATACTTTAGTACACTTCCAAATATTCATTCGTTACCTTGATCTGATCGGAACACAACTTGCGTATTGTGTTTAAAAATAACTTATTTAACTTTAGTAAACCTTGAAACAGTTGCAGTGAGTCAGTAAGAAGTGTTGCTTCAGATGGTAAATTTTACTGGTTACCGACTTGATAAGGAGCACACCTGACATAAGAATTCATCTTTAGGCCATAAAATTGAATTACCTTAAACAGCTGTATGATATAGAAAAGAGCCCAATTTTAAACAAAATCCAAAAAGAAAACTTCAATTTGTTAACCTATAACTTATTATGTCCTATTTATGCCAGGGATTTCCCCCGGCTACTGTGAATGTGGTTCCCAGCTACTTTCATTGGAAAATAGAAGAAACAGAACCAAAAGAATTCCCTAGCTGTTTGATTCCCTGCCTACTTGTTGTATTTGCCCAACAACTTGAAATCTCAGTGACAACCTAGTATCAGTAAATAGATTTTTTTCAAGCAATCAGTGGCTGTATGGAGTAAACCCCTAACTGACATTTGAAAAACTACAAGATCCTTTGTCCAAATCGCCTCATATTTGCCCATGTATATGAAAGCAGGATTTGAAATCGTGTCAAGTGTCACTAGGGGCGTTGTTCCGTGCACCCTTCAATACAAATATTAGAATAATTATTTAATAGTTATTATTAAAAACTGAATCATTGGATAATACTAAGGTTTACAATATTTCGAGTTCATCTTCATCGTTGTCGCTGTCAGAAGTGATGTCAATATCTTCTCCTCTGTTTCAATCGCGTTAATTTCCTTTATTATGAAATTCTACTTCCTCTTTCGCGTTAATTTTCTTTATTCGAAAGTCGTTTTCCATTAAATTCGCGTTAATTTAAGTCGCGTTAATTTCCAATACCTTAATTTCATGGAGCGTTAATTTCCTATAATAAGGTATGTGAAAGGAGGATTTGATATCATGTCAAGTGTCACTAGGGGCATTGTTCCGTGCACCCTTCAAATTACAAAGATTAGAATATGTAAATTTAGTTATTATTAAAAACTGAATCATTGGATAATACTATTCTAGAGCTCTGATTGGCTTAGCCATCACGGTATATGAGCCCTTATACGATGCTCCCCAAATATGGTAACTGTACGCATCTGCTCAAAATTAAAAACAAGCTGAAAATTGGTTGTTTTTACAAATAAAGTCAGGACGAATTCTCGATATTTTGCGGGCGTTTTTAATAAAACAATATTCCACTCGTGCTTGTTGTATATGACATGATTATAGTCAACTCATCCAACACGCACGAGTGGAATAATTGTTAAATATACCTGGCCTCCTTACTGTCTCTACAGAGTCCCCCCGCTTCCCCTACAGTGACTGCTGTACCCAAGTTCTCTCTTTTTTAAAGGTTTATTCTTTTCTCATTTTATAGAATGCTACCCAAAGCTCGTGTTGTGTACTGTAGTGCAACTGGTATGACAGATGTAAAAAATATGGTGGGTGTAGAGTGATGTATTATTTTATATAATTGACAATAACGTGATTTTGACTGAGTGTCAGGAAACAGCTTGTTACTATTAAAAGGTATCCAACTTTGCTTTGCTAGTTTTTCGCAAACAATGCACTAAGTAAAGGTTGGCAAGTACCTTTAAAAAGTATGCTGTACGTAGTCAGCATCTTATAAGATACCACTGTACAAAGTTAAAACTTTAAAGTGAAACTTGATCTTGTGACTTGATTTTGTACCTGGGAACAAAGATTTTTTAAGGCGAAATACCGTCGGTTGTATCTAAGCGTTGACACGAGACAAAAAAAAAACATGTTCTAATAGAGTGCCAGACATGACGTGTTTTGCCGCCAAACATTTGCCAAAGCCTTTAAGCCAAAGGTAAGTTTGTAGCCAACCGGAACATGTTTTTTCCTCAGGTGTACACGCTTAGATGCAGCCGACGTTAATTATGATCGCCGGGATGAGTGTACTTAACAGGACTGTTGTTGACAGTGATTGACGTTTTGACAGGTCTTCAGGTCCTATCCACATGTATCCGGATAGTTTTGAAAACGGAGACTTTTTTCTCCATTCTTGCCTCCATCCATCCACATAAACGGCCTTTTCAAAAACACACCCAGAGTGGAGATTTTTTAAAACGCCGGCTTCTCGTTTAAAGTGGGCTGTCGAAAACGGAGATTTGTGAACACGATTGTCATGCACCATATACTACTAGCGTTACACATGCTCTGTAAGAGCTGCTATCGTCTTTCCATCGTTTTAGGGTTTTCATGTGGACAGGCAAAAACGATTCAAACACGATTCATGTAGACGCCTATTTTTTTTTTTCAAAATCGAGAAAAAAATTCCCATTTTCGAAAATATCCGGATAGGTGTGGACAGGGTGTCAGGGTCAAAGTCAGTTGTATCACGTCAGTTGATGGTATTAAACTCTGGTTCAAGGTACATGATTTCTAGGTACTCAGTAGAAGAGCACAAAGACTCTTGTTGCGTGAAGTTTTTAAACCCTACAATAATTGCTGAGAGATTATTACAGCAACCATGTGTAGAAGCCTTAGGTTTCTGACAATGGTCCCCTTCAGTCCAACGGTCAATCAGTACAGTACACTGATACAGTGATTTGATTATTTCCAGGCATTTATGGAGAGACTTGGTTTATGGGGAGATGGAACAGCATTTAAATCGTTTGATTCTTTTCTAGCCAGCATAACTAAGAGAGGTCTTGGTAAGTGGCATAGTTTTCAGCCTAGACTACGAGCATTCTCTCTTTTTTCCAAGTCCGTCGAGCAAAACGCGCGAGACACGCAAATGACCACGCGCAACGCTCTCTCGCGCGTACACTCCCCTCACTAAATCTGAAGGAAAAGAGAGACTGCTTGCAGTCTATTTTCAGCCCCAATGATCCACATACAAATTCTCTCCACTGATCCCCTACCTTTCCTTAAAGAATTAGTTGAGAGATTTAAAGGATTATTTTATGAATTCTGTAAACTTTTTCCTGTAATGATGTATGGATATTTTTAGGAGAAAATTGATGTTAATCACGTTTGGTACTCAGTGGGATAAAGGGGTTATATCAAGATGACTTCCATATTCTTGTCAAAGTTGTGCTGAAATTGTAACTAAGTATTCTCAGTCACCTTTTTCCATACTTGGAACTCTTAAAAGAAAGCTATCAAATGATTCGATCTAAGCCAAGGGGAAGTAATGCATGTTCGTTTCTGGTCATTTTTCGAAGAACTCCTGCCTGCCGTACAATGCTTAGCTGTGATAAGAGTGTTAAAGATCTTAAGGTGCAGCGCGTCCTTGTACCGGCTCTGGCAAATTACTCGAAACCTTAGCCTAATTTATGGGTAGACCACCTGTACTATAACCGTGGAGAGACGGCTAGCTAGGCTAGTGGCTAGAACGGTGATGCGCCATGGTGATGCTATTACCACGTCTCGGAAATCATGGTCGCCTTTTATATAGCCTGTCTCAGGCTTTGAAATAGTGGAGTGTGGTGCGAAGTTAGAGAATGGGAAAAAAATAAGGACAAAGAGGGAGAGAGAGTCTCTCCTGAGAGGAAGGAATTTCGCCCTCACTCCCTACCCCACTCCTCGCTGTTTTTTCTGCACATATCTCCTTGCGTCGTCCTCACAATCTGAACTCCTGGAACAGTAGCTTACACTTCTCCATCGGCCGAAACGATGTATCTCAAGGTCATTTAAAATCTTTCCTAGGTGCTTCTGAAATGTTAGCTATGGAAATGAAGGCATCAGGGATGTACGTTTCTAGAGGTCTTAGTTTCAGACAGGCTGAGGTAATGCATAATTTTAGAAATGGCATCCTAATTTTCTGTTGTAACCAGAAGTTTTTCTAACATACTGAAATATAAGGCTTTTTTTTGCAATGCTTATTTCTTCACGTCTGTTCCTTTTTTGTTAACAAACTTTGATAATGCTTTTTTGTCGCATTTCTGCAGTTTGTTAATGTTGAGGCGACACTGACTGCGGAACAGAGAAAGGTTTACGACACTGCAGTTCACGTTTGGTACGTATGGCAATGTAAAAAGGTTAAATCTTCGTATTAACTGCTTTAAGTAGACCACAACTTAAGGTGGAATCATTCAGTGGTTTGTTGTACCAGGGCTCCGGGATTAACTTATGTGATTTCGTAGAAATTGTACTCAAAACTTGTGCGTTTGTTTGAGTCAAAGCAAAAGCAAAACAACAATCACAGTCGGTATTCTGAGAAGTAACGGTTGTGTGTATGTTTCACAATCATAGGGTGAATATGTTTCACCTTTTTTTCCTTTTCTCTTTAAAGGAGCGAGTTAAAGAAGTCATTAGAATTTGCCATTGGTCGCACCACCTCTTCTACACCAAGGGTGTGGTCAGTCTTTTGGTCCTGTCATCAGCGGTTCTTTAAACAGCTCTGGTGAGTATTTAATCCCGTCTCTGGTCTTTTAGGGGCAGATATTACAACAGAGTTTAGGCGTTATTTAACAAAACACCTTTCTAACGCCCATGCCTTAGCATCGTTTGCTGTTCATATCAACAAGAAGGCGACAGCCCGAATTAGAATACCATTTATCTACTTAAAATAAATACCCTACAAACGAATAAGGAGGCGCTCTGATTGTTAGACCTCGTTTAAATAGTCGACCTTCAGTTTCTCCTTAACATTATTGCCCTCTTACTTCCAGTAATGTTGTCCTCGATGCTAGTTCATCGGCCTATTAAAGTTGTACGTAAGACTGAGTCGGTATCATCTCCAATTACACTGTGGTACTGTTTGCAGACGCTATCGCCTATTTATTGGATATTACGAGGTTGCGAGGGAAACTGGGTCAAACTGCGTCCCCAAAACAGTCCCATAGTGCAGTTCGACACAACACCGACCCAGACTCCTGCCCAACCTCAAAACTCTGTGTCCGAGCGAGGTTAAGAAACCTAACAAAAAGAAAACGAATTTCATTTGTATGAGAATAAAAAAAATCATTTTCATATCAATGGCTTCGCACTTAGCCTCGCTTTAAAACAGAGGCTTAGCAACTCGGTAATGGCTACATTCGTGGGCCGCTTGGGAGCTCTTGGAATAGCTTACAGGATTGAGTGAGAAATTAATGAAGAAGCGACGGAAACAAACCCTAACCCTGAAATAATAGAGCTACGTACCTGTTAGAGCGAATGAAATTATATTTTTTGAAGGGCTTCGTGACAGTGGCAATGTAAGGTAATCCAAGACAGTCTTTGATTCTGGATTGCACGCTGTGGGTTCCGGAATCGTTATCATTGGAACTTGGATTTGGGATTTCCAATCGTTGGTGGGATTACGGATTCCAAAGTCCAGGATTCCGGTTATCACACGAAAATATTTCCTGGATTTCTGAATCCAAATTACCTGATCTTGGGCGGATCATTATACATTTCTGGGAAAGTGCCCACCTACCCCTCCCCTAAGCCAACATTTTGCCTTAAGTGAAAAGCAAGTGTTGATGTTGGCTCAGGGGAGGGGTAGGTAGGCAGTTTCCCAGAAACGTATAATAATCACATGGGGCAATTTTGCCAGTATCATGTTCCACTTTCAGCGCCAGCAGGCATTTTTACTTTGTAACCTTGCTTATATTGGGTCTGATAATAGATATGATGTATATGAATATTTTTACAGCATGATTATGAAAGTTCCTACCATAGTGGAAGAAGCCCAGCAAGCATTGCAGGCAGGATATTGTGTGGTCATTGGTCTCCAGTCCACTGGAGAGGTGTGTTTTCTCTTTCTCTCCAATTTTTTTTCGTATCCACTCCAAACGGGTACAGTTTGTGATAACATAAAAATTTCTTTATTTCAAGGTCAGCCATTGTTTAAAAAGTAATGTTTGAGACACTGAGAACTTCTTGCAAAGTTAGTAGAAAGTACGTACCAAATAATTGTTCGCCCCTCACATTGTATAGAGAGTTTCACATAGGTTCTATTAGTGGATGCACTTGATGCAAAGCTATCGCTGCAAGTATTTTAAGATCCTTAAGGATGTATGTACGGTCAACTCAGTATTTAAGTCTGACAAAGCAAAAAAAATGGTTGGATTCTTGCGAGAACGCACGATTCGTCCATAAAGAAGACCTGCAAATTGCTGGATTTGGCCGCTGGGTGTATGATGGCCATCGTATTTTCCCTGCAATAATGTTATTTCGTTGGTCCAGCAATTCACCTGTCAAGGCGGATTTTGTTCATCTGGAAAGTGATAGGATACAGCAAGACTATCAATTTTGTCCAGAAGGCATGATCGACCACAGGTCACTAGATTTCGTAGGTCATGGGCCATTTTTGGTAATTTTACTCAGGTATTGTTTAATGACCGACGGTTATTTACTTACTACTTATTAACCGAAAGTGAGGTCGTTACAGGGAAGTCCCAGACCAAGGCCTTGATTTATTGACCGAGCGACAGCACAACAGAACCATTTTAAAAATACTTTTTTAAACTTAGATATATGTCCCTTCGAATTCAATTCCACCAACATTTGACAAATTCAACGACATGGAATAACAACGAGGAATTTTGAAACGGAATGAATTCACTTTTTAGGAGACGTTTTCATTACTGTCGTTGTCGTCGTTGCTTAAACTCCCCAATGATCATGAGAAAGTAGTTGCTTGAATAGAGTTTGGCTTAAGTCATTGTTTTATTTGTCAGGCAAGTTTGGAAAGTGAAATATCACGGTGTGGTGGAGTACTGAATGGCTTTGTCTCAAGTACAGAAGAAATCATTAGCAGGTTTATCACGCAGTATTTTCCAACTGAGATAATCAAATCGGTGAGTAATTCTGAACAACCCTTCTCAGCTGGTGAGATTTAACTCACGCGAGTGCTTAATTTCACGAGCGCTTTTGTTCTGGCTTTGAAGATCAGAGATGACTGAGGATAAGTCAAGTTGACACCTCTCTTTCAGGTCCGTTCACTAAGATTTTAAGTTGCCGGGCATAATTTTTATGCAAAGTTTCGACGGAAAGTTTTACAGCTGGGAAGTTCTTTATGTTCATTTTTCCTTCTATTTCCTATGTAAGTAGCCGGGGGCCCTACTCAAAGTTTCCAGGGGAAATTCCCCGTCCCGGACCCCTTAATTACATCCCTGCTCTTTCCCCTTGCGACTTCGGCTCCGCTGAAAAGCACTCCTGCGCTCTCATTCCACCAGCTTTGCAGGTCAATCTCAAGGATGGTACATCACACAACGAATGGATAATTTTGAAAATCCACTCTATACTCAACATCACTTAAATGTAATACACTTTCTGTAACCTTCAAAGCAGGCGTATTTTGCAGGGTGACTGTTCTCCCGCCATCTGGGATATTGAAACTGACAGAGAGTTCAGTCACCAATCAGTTGGCGTCAGTGAAAAAATGATTCAAGATGGCGGACGCGATCAGTATACATTTGTACCTCAAGGCTTTAGTTAAAAAATTGTTTGCTCTACAGGCCACACTTTCTGCCTTCCACATTTCAAAGATTTGATGGTACTTCTCCTGTTATGGTTCATAAGCCACAGAGGTCCAGTCCAACAGTCTTGTTTACTCACTTTTTTATTTTTGTTTCGGATAGTGTGAAGTTAAGTAAATTTTTTTAAAAAAAGAGAGAAATCAAGGCTATTATGTTCTTTGTGTAGAATGGCGATGTTGTTGAAGATCAGTGGAGTGTTCAGGCTAAAAATCTTCTACAAGGTTTTGTCAAGAAAATTAATCTCCCAATCAGGTTTGTATCAATGTTCTATTCTTTAAAACCCTTTTAAAGAGCCTGTCTAACTATGATGAGCTATTGCTGTTTTAGGTCAATGCTGTGAAAAAGTCCCTACTTAGTACCTAAACCTAAATACAAAATGCTCCAGAGGAATTATACAGAAAATAGCAAACAAATTTTTAATCATGGAGCACTAACCACTATTTTTTTTGGTGATTGTTACAGGCATAGCATTAAAACTTGAACAATTTGGTAGAACGTTTTCAAGTTTAAATCCATGTCCATTCTTGCCATCCGTTGCAACAGACGACAGAAACCAGTTTCAGTACTTAAAAATATTCTTAAATAACAAATTTGCCGTATTATTTTTGGGATTAATCCTGGGTGGGGATGGAAAGGATCC